AGGACTCTGAGCAGAAGGCACGGCCTCATTGTTCAGCTGACGGTAACATTTCTTTCTCCGTACTGTGTAACGCACGGCGCTTATGTTCACTGAAATATGCATTGTTATCCTGACTTCACAACTGAGATCTAGAGAATTCCATATCTTGCTGAAGGTCGCATGGGAATAAGCCACCAGGCAGGTTTCCAGCCCAAGCTTCTATCTAAAACCCCTCCCCTTAAATACCACACTGGTTACTTCCTTGTTAAAGAGGCTGAGTTCGGACCGACTAAATGCTGCAGAGAGTCACCCACCATGGGCTCAGGCTCAACACCTGACATACACCATTCTGTTGATAAAACCCATGTTCTCTGATCCCATGAAGGCAACACAAGAGGGAACCAGACAGTGTCCCAGCCCTCTGAGAGTGACTGTTAAGATGAAGTATACCACAGACACCATTCGCTAAGCCCAGATGTTTTTCTTGATCCAAGCACTCAGAGATGTGTATGTTTTGAGAAATGAATGTTTAACATAGAGAGAATTTGGGTGACTTCCCTCGGAGGCAGGTAATGTAACAGCTGGAGCCGTCACAAATTGCTACTCTGCCCCAGATATTATTCTGCATGCATTTGACCTCACGTGAAGCCGAGCCTCAGAGACGAGACTCGTTTCGTGTAATGTAGGCTTTGCCAACAAAGACTCAGAAAGTCAGTGCCAATCCTGAAGGGGTCTCACAGGTGACCTGCCCCCAGCCTTTCCTTGGGGGTAGTCAGGGTGGGACAGAGTGATCCACAGGTTCTGATGAGCTGCCTGCTCTTCAGTGAGGCGGTTGAATAGAGACCTTTACAGGTTTGCTAAGACAACAGTGAAAAGAATTTATCTGGGAGAGGTGTCACGTCACCAGCCCGAAACCTCAGTTTAGTTAGGAGAATGGTAAGTTCTAGGCTAGCCTGGGCTACTTGGCAAGACTGGTCTTAAAGACATATAATGAAGTAAAAATACATTTGAAATAAAGAGGTTACCCAAGCCCACCACAGTGCTCCTCAGCGAGTGCTGACACTGAGGCTGGCTCTCGAATTCTCTCACCGTCTGTCTCTTCGTCATCTCTGAAACATAGTATTTACCTCCCCTCTTACAAAGGGAGCGGGGGTCATTTTGACCCATGCTACTGTTGTAGAGGTCATTATCTGAGAACCTGGTTTTAAACTCCACAGAGCTTGCCTTATGCACACTGTCTCAATCTTCTTGATCATCCAGGAATGATGCATGCTGATGACAGTCTGGGTCTCTTCCTGAAGAACCTCAACTCAGGGAGGGACCTCTCCAATCCAAGAGCACGTGGGAGGGGGCAGAATGTTCACTCTGTTCCTCTCGTGTCATGTCAAACCATAGACAAAGCATCCTTCAACTGAGAATGCACACGGGGGACACAAAGAGCCTCCGGCCTAGTTCTCACTCTAAAGCTATGCTGAGCTTGAGTCTTCCCTGGAAAAACCCTAGACTATAGGTTTGGGCAGAAGCCTCAGCCGTTAAGAACATGGACTCTTCTTCCAAAGGACCTGAGTTCAACTTCCAGCATCCACATCAGATGGCATACAGCTACAGGTGACTCCAGCTTCAGGGAACATGACACTCCTGGCCAATTTGAACATCCATACTCATGTACACAGGCACATTACATACATACATACACAGACACACACACACAAAGAGAGAGAGACAGAGACAAAGAGAGAGAGACAGCGAGACAGAGAGAGAGAGAGAAACAGAAAGAGAGAGAAACAGAGAGAGAGAAACAGAGAGAGAGAGAGAAACAGA